AACTTTACGTTTTCAATCAGCAGCTGCGTACAGAATAGTATACTTTACACCCCAAAACGTTACGCGCGCGCTTGCGAAACGCCGTGTGTGTGGGTAAGATACCGATCTAGTTTTGTTTGTGTCGCACTATTTGAAGATATGACAGAATTTGGATTTTTTGATATTGTCTTTGATGGCACCCAATACGTATTTGCCAATACAAATAATGTTAACTTTCTTTTTATGAGTGGGTGGCAGTGACGGACTGGATTTGAGAAGCCTAAACAGGTTCTGTTAGTGATATATATGTATGTGGATGACTATTACTCCATTTAAGGCAGAAGCCTACTAATACTTATTATTGAGAAAAGAAAAACAGGCAAAATATTATGCAAAACTGTATATTATGAGTGATAAAGCCTTTTCAACTATTTCTACAACCCAGATTTAAAAAAAAAAAAATAAAACAACAAAATGTACCAACTCAGTTTTGATGTGTATATTGCAATTCTATTCCCCTATGCACGCCATATAAAGTAACGATAACAAATTCCAATAACTGATAACAAAAACTGTAATTACTGCATTCTCAATCACCAAAAACAACAGATTGTTGGCCTCAATTGTTAAACATATCCATCTATTGGTTGAGAGTAGACATAATGGAACAAATTCTGAATTGCTTTATTTATGATTACGAATCTTTGCATTAATGACGTTGACCCATATCAGCACTTAATGAATTGTTAATTGATTAATGCTATTGATTAATGCATATTATGTTTTGGCGGATGATACGAGATGACACGGATGTTATCAACCTAAAGCGGGAGGGTCGTCATCTGCTCACACACAGGAATCGAGTCCCAAGCGATAATAACACACGCTAAGAACGCAAAGGCTCATGGGTGGACGCTTGTTTGTAAATAATGACACGCTAAGACTACCTGACGCATGCGTAGGTGATGACTCCCCCGCTTTAAGTACTTAGTCAATAAACAATACTGTTGATATTTTTAGTTTCACGATGAATATAACAACATAGTCTGATTTAAAATGTTTACTAAGTATCTACGTAACGTAAGTTACGTAAGTAAGTTCACAACAACATTCCAAAACTTGCTTTTTTGAAGTATAAATTTGTATTGCATCTTTATCGTTGATTGTTGATATGAATTAGTACATATTCTTATTGTCAAGTGAAAAAGATTCATTATATTAATCCTCAGAATTGATCCATTCTTTCACGAATTCTTTCGGTAACTGCTGTACATTATCACTCGCCTTCCCGTTCACATATGTCAAAAGTCCACAGGCATCGAATTCTTCCCCTGTAGCGATTGTGATTCTTTTCTCTTTATAATCCCACAAGACACGGACTTCAATATTCGTGAAGACCACCAAAAGTTTACCACTTCCGTCGAACCACTCGGCACCGGCATAGTGATCGTCATGTGCATTCACTCCTTCACGATCATTAAACTATTATGTAAGACAAACTAGATAATTAAATATGACGCACATATTATCACACATAGGTATATTCCATACGAGCATGTTTAAATAATTAACAGCAGGATTCCTTCGAAGAAATTAAAGACCCAGTGCTTCGAATTACCTTACGTACAGGAGCACCTACAGGTGAATTCAGGGCGCACGCGCCTCGTGCGTGATTGAATGCAGGTATAATCGGTGGAAAAGAACCTCTTTTGACAAGGTACATGAGAACACGGATTATGAACATTCAAGACACATTATTGAAACTTCATTAGTTGTTAAAAATTTAGTGATTACATTCATAGATATTTAGTAATTCTAATAAAAACGAATTTTCGAATCCAAATCGGACTATATCACAAGAAAATCTGCAGATGTCAGGTCATCATCAAGTGGCAGATCTACGGGGGTTCTTGGGGTCCGTACGCCCCCCCCCCCCGTTGGAAAATTTATTCAATTTTTTTTTTAATATAATAAAATCATTAACTTAGTCTGGCGATTTTAAAGTCCCCCCCCCCATAAAAAAATCCTGTATCCGCCCCTGCTATCTACACATGGTTTTGCATTTGAGAGCCAAGTTTCATGAACTTCTAACTATTTTGAGAACCAAAAAACTGACTGACTGGCTGCCACCTTGTTTTTTTGAAATTGTGGTATGTTGTACATGCCTTGTCGGTTTTTGATCAATTTGGTACATACATCATACATGTTGAGATCTGTTTTGAAAGTGTATCGTTGACATTTTTTTTTCTCTTCAAATTATACATGATAGGATACATGCCCGTACAATTAGTTTCATAATCGAATCAAAGATGGTTCACTGGCAGCCATTTTCTTTTTTGGCCATACTGTATCTCTCTCACCTATGTACCATTTCATTGATATATATATATATATATATATAT